AACTGATTTTTTTAAAGACCGCTTTCTTCAAAAAAGAGAACATAAAGTAATCAATTTAAGTTGGTGATTTTTTTCCATTGTAGTGAGAAATGTAAAGCGTTCAACTCAGGTCTCTTAAAAATTAAGAAAAGGAAGCATAAAATGTTCAATATTAAAATAATTTTTAATTGCACATTATATATTTGTCTCAGATTAAGATCAGCAGATATACAAGGGAAGGGAGGAATGGAACAGGAAGCAGAAAAGTAGGTGAGAAAAGGCTGAGAAACAAACTAAAACACAGACAGATACAAAGAGTGAAAGAAGGATTAGAAAAACCAGAAGAGAGTTGGAAGACAGAATAATATTTAGGAACAAAGAGGAAGGATGACAGGACTATGTAGATTTTGGCACTTAAGCACAGCTCTTCATTACTTTTGACATCCTTTGTTTGAAGTCTTGCTCTCCACATATGAGCTATATGAGAATCGTGCTAGATTTTGCTCACTATTGTTTTCCCAATGCCTAACAGAGACATAGTAAACACAAGCAAGAATTATTAAGTGAATGGATGAACAAAGAAACAAATAAAGAAAGAGAGTTTAGGGAAAGGGAGTTCTGTGGCTCAGATGGCACCAGTTATGGTCCACTAAGAGCTGCCCTTTTTTCCTCAAAAGAAAGAGGGCATGGACTTGGCTAATCCTGGCCCCTGAGCTGCCTGCAATGGTGTTTTTTTTGGAGGCAGTTTTACAAATGCTCATACGTTATCTGTGAGAGTTGCAGTCTACTGTTAGAACAAGGTTTTTCATCTGTTTCTTTTGGAAACTTTTTGAAGGTTGATGTTTTCACTGTCCCTCACATTCCTGGTACCTTCTTACCCCAAGCCCAGTCTGTGATGCTCCCAAATCCTCCTGCCCCAACAGCCCCTCCGGAATCTCTGTCCTGTTGTGAGTCAAACAAATCTCTCCCAGAACACTGCTTTCCTGGCTCTCTCCCAAGAGGAGCATTTTCATAGTCTGTTTTGTGTTGCTGTAACAGAATATGTGAGACTGGGTAATTTTATAATGAACAGAAATGTATTGGCTCGCAGTTCTGGAACATGAGAAGTCTGTTATCAAGGTGCCCACGTCTGGTGAGGGCCTTCTTGCTGTGTCACCACAGGATAGAAAGTGAGAGGGTAAGAGAGCAAGAGGGGACTGAACTTGCCCCCCCACCCCTTTTTTTGAGACAGAGTTTCGCTCTTGTTGCACAGGCTGGAGTTCAGTGGTGTGATCTCAGCTCACTGCAGCCTCCACTCCCGGGTTCAAGTGATTCTCCGTCCTTAGCCTCCTGAGTAGCTGGGATTACAGGCATGTGCCATCACGCCTGGCTAATTTTGTATTTTTGTATTTTTAGTAGAGATGGCATTTCTCCATGTTGGTCAGGCTGGTCTCAAACTCCTGACCTCATGATCCACCCGCCTCAGCCTCCCAAAGTTCTGGGATTACAGGCGCGAGCCACTGTGCCTGGCCTCAAACTTACTCTTTTGTTACAGCACCAATCCCCACCCCCATGAGGTGGATGCCTCAAGGTCTAATCACTTCTTAAAGGTCCCACATCTTGATACATTTACAATACCAATTAAATTTAAAAATTAAATTGAGTTTTAGAGGGACAAGCATTCAAACCATACATAGCAAGCCCCTTCTCCTTCAGTCCCTTGGTGGCAGCTGCCTGTTTTCCCAAACTGTCTGTATTAAGAGGCCTAGAAAAGGGTCAGCACTCTGGGCTCCTCATCACCAAGAAATCAGTGCACCTCAAACCTCAAATGCACTTTTCTAGTCCTTCCCATCCTATCTTCTAACACCTCCTGGTCACCCTTCATTCATACAGATTTTGGCCCTTGGCCACCCACAGCCTCCTCATCTATCCTGACTACTGACCTGCAGGATGACCTCAGGAGTTTGGTGCACAATTCATCTAAAAGATTAGCCTCTGCAAATTCTAAGAATTTTTTTATGGTGGTAAAATATATATATAACACAAAATTTACCATTTTACCATTAAAGTGTACAGTTTTGTGGCATGACACACATTCACATTGTTCTGAAACCATCACTAATCTATTTCCAGAAATTTCTTATCTTCTCCAGATGATAATCTGTATCCATTAAACACTAACTTCCCAGGTTCAGTGATATTTACTTTTACCAGGTTTAAGGCACTCTCACCCCAGAATTTTCATTTCCTGAAGTTGTTCTACTTTTGGAATTTTAAATTTTGTTATTCTACTTTCTTTCCACAATCCCCTGTCTTGCCAACAGACCTTGATGCAGACCGATCTGAGTTGGGATCCCGGCTAATCCAGTTGCTAGCTTCATTTCTTAATCTGTTTTGTGTTGCTATGAAAGAATACCTGAGACTGGGTAATTTATAAAGAAAAGAAGGCTATTTAGGTCATGGTTCTGAAGGCTACACAAGAAGCATGGCACCAGCATCTGCTGGATATCTGGTGAGGGCTTTTGTGCTGCATCAAAATATGGCAGAAAAGGGCCAAAGGGGAAGTCGGCATGTGCAAAAAGACTCCAAACCCTAGGGGCATCCTGGCTTATAACATCCCTCTCTCACAGCAACTAATCCATTACCTTGCGAACCCATCCAGGCTCTTAAGAGTGAGAACTTGCTGGGCACAGTGGCTCATTCCTGTAATCCCAGCATTTTAGGATGCCGAGGTGGTCAGATCACTTGATTGTCTTTGCCCTCCAGTCTGAGAAACAAGAGCAAAGCTCAGTCTCAAAAAAAAAAAAAAAAAAAAAAAAAGTGAGAATTCACTCACTATTGTGAGAATGGCACCAAGCCAATTCCTGAGGGATCTGCCCCCATGACCCAGACACCTCCCATTAGGTCCCACATCCAACAGTGGAGATCAAATTCCAACATGAGGTTTGGAGAACACAGACAAACCATATCTAAACCATGGCACCTCACTTTCTTCATTTGTAAAATTCAGTTAATAGATAATATAAATACTGGGTAGATCATAGAACCTACGTTCACAGAATTGTTGAAAGGAATAAGTGCTTAAAGAGCATTTAGCACAGGTCTGTTTTCCTCTGTCCTTCCTACCAGTTCACACGTTAATCTGCATCACATCAACGATTACTCGATTGATATTTCCAGCTCCCTTAAACCTTTATCTTTATGATGCTCATCCCAGGGAGACACAGCATGCTGTATCAGTCCAGCTTTCTGCCTCATCTGCACATCCAGCTGGGCTGTGGGTGAGCAGCTGGACCAGCCATACTACCATACAAGCATTTCATGGGCCCCTATTAGGTTTCCTCTGTTATTAACCCACACACCTATTTCAGATCTTTCCCCTTTTCTTTATCTGCCTGCCCAGCCACTGTCTTCTCTGTTTCTGTAAACCAGAGTCCTTAACACTTTAATGATACTAGAACCACACACATTCCCTGAAGTTCTGATTGGTAACAGGTGGTAGGATGGGAGTCTGCAGTTTTAACAAGCAGCCTGGGGATTTGGACGCACACAGTGCGCAGTCCACCCTTTGCGGAGGGCTGTTCTGAGCCATAAGCTCCTTGAGAGCAGACACACAGTCTTATCTGACTTTCACCCCTAAATACCTAACAATAGATGCTGAAGGATTGATTGAGTGAATGAATCTGTCACTCTGCACTTCAGAGTAAGTTACTGTTCGCCTTTGAAATGCTAATTAGCTACAGCTGTTTAAATGCAGTTTAAAACTCTTTAATATGTTTTATCTTTAGTTCTTTATCAGCCCTTTTCACTGCCATTGGGGGTAGGGAACTATAAAGAACTTGTTATTTCCTGACTAGCAACAACAAAAAGCCAACCCAAGGGCCAGGTAAGATTGCAACTGTGGTCTAGAGATACACAAATTGGGCCCTGCCACTGTCACTTAGGGAAGAACACTTGATGACTCTCCTTCCAGGGATCCCCCACAGGCAGAGATTGTTGTAGCCATTTCAGTGGACTTCTCTGGATTGGAGTCTCAAGCGCGATGCTCACTGCGAGGCATGTTGGGAGAAGGTGACTTAGAGAAATAGGTGGGTAGATAGAGATAAATACTGGCACACCCAATCAGTGCTGCAGAGGCTTAAAATTCCAGCTTTGCCATTTACTAGCTTGTGACATGAGTAATGAAACTATTGGAGCCTCTTCTTTCCTTATCTCTAAAATGGGGACCATATGATTTACCTTGCAGAGCTTTGGGGAGGATTGAAAAATGTCTGTAAGAAATGCATAGTGATTCTATGACGTTAGACAATCGAGCAGAGTTTTCAAGAAAGCATCTGTCAGTCTCTACCATGATGGAGAGAAAACACACACACACACATAAAACACCTACACCCAGGCTGCCTACAAAAACAGAAGTAGAACCAATGATTGCCCTGTGGGGAAGTCTAACTCTCACCCTTTGCAATAAAATCTTTCCAAAGGGAGCAGACAGAGTAACCTCGGGCCATGCCCTCCCACTTCCCTCTTCCCCAAATGGAGCTCTGAGGGGGGCAGAGCTGGTTGGGGAGGCTTTATAGAGGAAGTGGGAGGTAAAGTAGTGTGGGTGGCTAATGCTGAAACATTTCTTTTACCACCTTCCTATACCATCCCCACCCCCCACTTCTCTTCTGTGTCAGGGGGAAAGAGAGACAGTGCATGCCTATGCTGTATCCACACACCTTTGGATCTGCTCCCCCAGCCTCCAGACCCCACCTCATTATTCATCAACATTCACTGAATGCCTGCAGCCTTCATGGTGCTTTCTGCATGCCTCATCCGGACCTCCCTAGGAGGCTGTATAAAGTTAGCTTCAATATTTGGGGTCTTCCCCAGCCCATGAAGACCAGTGTTTAAGCCCTACTTCAGCCCTTCCTTATGCCTGATTTTCTCTTTTCAGTTTGAGTGCTGAGAGACTGTTTTAAATGTCAATAATAATGAACAGCTATAGATAGTCTCCCCTTCCATACTTATCCCCTTGTTCCCACACATTTATTTGCTTTCAGGAGAAGAATTTGGACTGGTTTCCTCGGATGCGAGCCATGTCCCTCGTTAGCAATGAAGGAGACAGTGAGCAAAATGAAATTCGGAACCTTCAGGAGAAATTGGAATCGACTATGAGTCTGGTCAAACAGCTGTCGGGTCAGCTGGCGGAGCTCAAGGAGCAGGTGGGTGCATTCAGGGAGACGGTGCTGGTTGGGAGAAGTCATTCACCACCTCTGCGGAGGGGAGGCAGAGACTCCAGGGAGCCAGGTCATCATCCACAGAGGATTGCAAAGAAAACTGCCGTTGTCCTGTAGCATCACATCCCAGCAAACCGGGACTTCCACTTATCCCACCTCCCTGAGCCTTGTGCAACACTTCTCCTTCTATGGAAGGGGGAAAGAGAAAATGCCAAAATACAAGCACTTCTTTGCATTAAAAAAAAAAAATCATTTTCTGCCATGATAGTAATTACTAAGCCCATGGGAAAGGCAGATTCTCATTAGTATCTACCATTTCAATGCTATAATGAACCGCTTTATCATATAAAATTGTTATTATTAGTAAAAATATCAACAGTAACCATGGTAGCTATTAAAATGACTGTAATGGTGACAGCTATGTGACAGGCAAGATCTGTTTTATAAAATGGCTCTTTTAAGAGTCATGGTTTCTGCTTCCTAACCACAGAGAGGGGTTTGCTCTTTTTCTCTGTTTTTGGAAATGTATTTTTTTAAAATATCCCTTTTTTGATAACTATATTCTATATGATGTTAGACAGTAGGTAGTTGGGGAAAATTAACTTAATATCATTGTGGCCTCGCAGCACTGGGTAAGAGTGAGAAAATCCGCTGAACACACACTCTCTCTTTTCCCCCAGATGACAGAACAAAGGAAGAATAAGCAGAGACTGGGCTTCCTCGGATCAAACACACCCCATGTGAATCATCACATGTCAGCACACTGATACCATGGGGGGAAGCCGTGACTAGCCTTTCATCAGTGTCCTGCCTGATCACTGAATAAAGAACTGAGATAGAGGGGAGTGAACAGTGCCTATTGTTGAAAAGTTAAAAACAACCAAGTGCCAAGATGTTGAGTGGGTTAGCTCTGAGAACAATTTATAACTGTGTTTTCATGGGTGCAAAGACCTAACCTCAAATGCATCTGCTAGAAAGCGTGCATCACACATTTGCAATGCAACAGGAAGAAAAGGCATATCCAAAAGGCTGGAGAGGGCAGGGAGTGACAGGGTGGAAAGAGACACGGGGCAGGGAGAACTCTCTTCTACTAAATTGATAGGAGTCAGCTTTGTCTTAAATACTGACTACAGCCACTGACATGGTTGGCTGGAATTTCTTTTAATTGTGGCATATAGGTTCGTGATACAAGAAGTCTTACTTTGGTGGCTAAGTTTTACCAAGGAAAATAACTGAAAAGATTAAAAGTGAGAGTTGAAAAGAAATGATAATGATGCTTCCAAACTATAGCTATCACAGGGTAATTTCTTTATTTATAACATGAAGCACAATGGATTTACAGCTCTAGGAACTTAGTGCTTTAGAGCTTTTGCCTCTCACGCTGACAACATAACGGAATGTGATTGCCTTCTCTGGGATTCAGACAGCCTCTGTCAATGTGGAGCACTAAAGGAGATTTTCGTGTAACTTGTTAAAAACATGTTCTAAGTCATATAGTCATGTATAGGCTAAGATTTTAAAAGATCTGGGGGAATAAAAAGCCAACAGTAAGTGCCAGGAAATATTTTTTTGAGACCATATATATGCTGTTAAAATATATTAAGATTAACAAATGAAAATGCTTATAGGTGCTAGGAATTATTGAGACTTATGATGGTGGCATTGCCTTTTATAAAGGTGCAGTGAAAGCCATTTGACTCATGTTTGCTGTGCTTAAAGAACTGCTTAAGGAACTGAGCGTTTTCATTTATGCTATTCCTGCAGTTAGGAACAAAAATCCAAGAAATGTATCAAATACTCAAGAAAATGCCACATTTCAATTACATATTTAAAACTGTATCTGCAAGGGCTTTTCAAAATGTAGAAAGACATAAACCTCTTACTCAAATTGTTTTTATGTTAAATCATTGCGATCAGAATTTGTCAAGGGAGAGAATAACCTGGTGTGTTCAGGTTATTCTTAGAGAGTACACATTTGGAATAGCAGAGCAAAATATGGATAATGAAAGTGTTAGGGAAAATGTGGTGTGATAGGAAGTGAAGACGCTTGATTCCAGACTCTAGGAGATGCTCTGCAAGTTGACCTCGCCTCTCCCTGACAAGAACAAAATACTACCTCCAGAGTCTTTAAATTCTGTTATTAACGCCAAGGTTTAAGGTCCAGAGAGCATTTGCTATGACCATTTTTAAAGCTTTTGGATTGTTCTAACATAGCTTAAGCTATTGGTTCCTAAAAATCCCAAATCATGATCTATGTAGAATATAAAGGAAGCCTGAACCAATCCTTCTTCCACACACTGTCAAAATGTAGAGTTGGAACAAAGCTGTTGGGATCAAGAGCAATGATTTTTGAACTGAAGCTACTGGTACTCCCCAGCACCACCTCATACTAAGAATTCCTCACCTGACATGATAGTATTTTTCCTGACTAGGAGCTGAAAGACTCTGACATTCATGATCCAAAGATACTACAAAATTTTGATATGTCTGCATGCAGCACAGAATTTTGAATCTAGCAAGCAGTCAATAAATACATGAGAAATTCAGCTGTCATTCAGTTACTCTTAATTATTTATAAAACTTTAAATGATGCCACATATTTGTTTGTTTTAAACAGCTTTCCCAAAATCAAAGTAGACTAAAGCAGCCATTTTTAATATCCAGGATCATCAATGCTATTAACAATATAAGGTAAAAAAGTACACTCTAAAATGTTTTCATCAGGCAGAGTTTTATGGATAGGGAAAAGAAGAGAAATGTGGTAAATATTGAACCTATTCCACTATAGGAACCTATCTTTATTTTAGTACAAAATAAAGTATTTCTGATGTCTGAATGAGAGGTCAAAAGAATAGATTAATTTGTACACATCTGAGCAACCTGTCTTTCAGATGATAAAGTATCTAGTCTTTTCTGACACCATAATAGTTCATTTTGTAGGGAATAAGCCATTAGGTGTATGTAACTGCTATTCAGAAATGACCTAATGTCCCCAACCACTATGTAGTAGCAGCTCACTGTTTCACAGCATATTTTCTCCTGAGGGAAGTATTCGAAAGAGACTGCAGTTAACAAGATTCTCATTTCATAAAAATTTAAATATTTCTCAGTTTTTTTTAAATTTTTTTTCAGTTGTATTTTTAATGTCTCTTTCTTTCCTGCCTAAATGCTTAGAAATTATAAAGCAAAAAAACAAAGACAACAACAACAACAAAAACTCAAGCAAACAAAAAAGACAGTTTTCAGAACACCAAATTCCTAATGGAGAAGATAATGGGGAAATTTGACATTTGATATAAATTTATATTTGTTATGTGTATGTTTGTTAATGCAACTGGAATATTTGACCTAGGTGAGTATTAGTTAACATCCTTATATTTACATAGTGACATCAAAATAAATACAATCATCTTTGACTTTGATGTTAAGGGAGATTTTAAAAAAATATTTAGTTATTTAAAATCCATATTGGTTCAAAAGTATCAGTTTCTGCTGAATAATATTTTTAATTTCAAAAAGGTTTTGTTTCCTCTGTGCTCCATTTTAAGGCTCAAGAGTTGAATGCAAATATGTTTTCTGAGTTAAAATAACAGTTTTAGATGAGAAAATGCTTGTTAGGACTATAATATAAATAAATAAATTATATGTATGCAAAGATTTATCATATTTTTTCTACCCCTTAAAAAGTTAAATTAGGCTTATTTTCTTGCATATTGCCATTTTTCTGTTGGTAAAGAAGACACAATTTCTAGTAAATTGTTAATAATATCAGCAAGATATTTCATTCATCAGAACTAATTGTGTGCTTATTCCCATATTCTCAGCTCATAACTCCCTGCTTTGGCTGCCCTCTTTATTTTACAATTGTCTTATTGCAAACAGCAAGGCAGTATGGCCCCCAGTCCCCAGGACTGAGAATGAGTGGAGAGGCTGGGGAGTTGGGGAGGGAAGGTGGAGGTGGGGATTTCTGCTTCCCAGTACTCTATCATTAGAGAAAAGGAAGGGTAAACATTAGCTAATAAGAAGAAAAGAGCTTATTCTTCAGGGACCCAGTAGATTGGACTAGGCAAGGAAATATTGCACAGGCATCATGATGTAACAGATTATGGACCCCAGAGATACCCCTTACCCATGCAGAGAACAAAGCTGTGTGGAAGAGCAACTACCATAAGATGATGCATTCCCTCCAGTGGCTGCTACAGCTATCCTGAATAACAAATCAGCTATTCCGACCTACAGACCCATTCCAACCAATATGCTGTGATACATGCCACAGTACGCCACAGAGAAGACAGACATCTTCAGCACAAACACAGATGCCTGTAGGAACTTGGCAAGTCACTAAATTACATGAAATTGTGAGGTGCACACCACATGCAGGGATAGGGGAGGCTGTGGGAAACTCTGTGTTCTCAAAGTTTGACAGCTAATTCCATTTTTTAGAAAATGCCTGAGGCCAGTAGAGGCCCTCTAGTCTCTCATAGCTGCTCTTTTCTGATATAATTAATGAGAAAGCTATCTCATTTAATAGAAGAAAACATGCACTATCCAAACCAGAGAGCCTAACATGCATGTGAAAGTCAAGAAATCTGAAAACAAATCCAGGTACCCTTCTCTGAACTGGAGTGTTTCCACAGACTTGAATAATTTATGAAATTATCATGCCAGTACTTCTCATATCACCAAGACTCTTTTTCTCCTGCAGTAGAGGATTACTATATTTGCCTAAAAAACACAATTCCACTATATGTCAAGGGCAGATAGTTTATGTTAATGTTAATAAAATTGGATTTGTATAACTTTTCTGTTTGCAATACTTTTAAGTGCTTTATTCATTTCTTGCCATGTTTCTAAGTAATATCTGCATGGGTATGACAAGGCATTATGATTGCAAGACATGAGTTATAAAAAATTTGGTGACCCAAACCACACGGATGAGCTAATCCAGATGGACTAGTGTGCCAAAGGCTTATTGGGATTTGGCCAATTCCCCAATGTGCCAACTCCTTCTGCTGCATCACATTGTGTCTGATGTCCTGCTTGAACTCAGCGAACACAGGCCATTGGATGGCTTAGAATTTCCTGATTCTTAACACGCACTGCTTAAATCATAGTTCCCCACAGAAGAGAACTGGGTGTGCAACAGCTGAAGTCAACATGGGTGGCACGAATCACATGCAGTCTCAAAATAGAATTCTTTGCTCATATGGGTATTTTTCAGTGTGCCACAGTTCCTTGAAGTAGTGTGGCAACAATTGTTTGTTTTGTTTGTAATCAGAGGAAAGGTTGGGTGAGGGCAATTGGACAGGGAGTTCCTCTTCCGGTGAGAGTAATTGGCATGAAGAGCAAGCAGTAGCGTGCATGTGGGGCAGTATGGTGGAAGTCCACAAGTCACACTTCCTTTGCCTGCTCAACTGGGGTGCTTTGAGGAAGTCCTAGGAAGGCCTAATGTTCAGAGAACAGTCCCAGTCCAGAATGTGTGTACTTCAGCCTCACATATGTTCCTCCCCGACAGCAGAGGTGCTGGCACCTCACACAGAGCCACATGGCAGACAAAAGCAGATACCAAATGTGATGCTGGGAGAAAATGTACAGAAACAGAGATAAGTTGTTAAACTCAGTTTGATTCTGTTTCACAGAAAATGATGGCTTTTACTGCTTCAGTGTGGATTTCCCCCCAGATCAGCCTGTTCCCCTTTAACTCTGGTCCTTGGGGCAAGATCAGCTCCAGGTAGAGTAGCCCTACTCACAGCTATGGAAATGTGGCCGCAGGCATGGATTTTCTCTATGATCCTCCCCAGCACATCGTGCAAAGCTCCCCTCCCCTCAGGTCTATTTGCATAGGACAGAGCTGCTTCGGAGGCTGCTCGCTGCTCTAATAACTGTGAAGATAATAATTACCTTCACTTCGGACAATTATATCCTCCTTTCTCTATACCATAACCCACTCCCTCTTCTCCTTCAGCGTGGGCCAGATGTATCTTTGTGATGCTGGACTTCTAAGCAGTAAACTCAAAAAGTCTGTAACCACAATACCTTAAAATTAGGCCCTGCGGTATTAAAAATATTAATATACAACTATCAATTAGGGTTTATCAGGGAAACAAAATCAGTATGGGTATAATGGGCTGAAAATTTTATTTTAGACATTAGACACCATGCAGTTATGGTAAAGAACTCTACAGAAGGCTGATGCTTCTGTGTCTGGTGGTAGGCCTGAGGTCAACGTGAGTCAGTGGGGCTGGTAGTCAGGAAGGAAAGCTGGGTATGAAGCAGGCAAGAGTGAGGACAAGCTGGAACTCATGAAGACAATCCAAAATTTGCATCTAGCTCTCACCACCTCCAAACTCTATAGTGCGCGGGTGACCTAAAAACAAAGCTGGCACTCTTCCTTATGGAATTGCATGTGTATCTGATTCAGGACTCAGACGAGCTGAAGGAAGAGATCTCATATGAGCCGGAGGACTGTGGACTAGCTGCTGTCCGTACCGACAAAGTGAGCCAGGCGATCAGGCTGGGCGCTGCAGCGGCACCTGTTGCCTGCTCCTTCTGAGCTTGGTGACTGCTACTTCATTTCCACCTTCTAAATCTCATGAAAATAGCTCCGTGGTCATATCTGATGTGTAACCCTATGAGTAAGGGAATTCTGGGAAATTCTGTAGTTCTGGATTAGCTAGTTTTAGTTCAGAACCTCTCCACTGAAGTACACCTCAATAGTGATACCCCTTTTCCTAGTGGGCACGCAGAAGTCACACTTCTTAGCACCTGTTGCAATTAAGTGGAAATACATGGCTGCTTCTCACCAATGGATTGTGAGGTTAGCTGACAATCTGAGGCTTCAAAAGCCCCTATGCAGGCTTCAGTTCTTTTCCTGCCACATCAATCATGGAGGCCAAGATGGAACCACCCTAAATCCCTGAGATTTAAATCTCTGAATCTTTGAAGGGAACTACCCTGCAGAACCGTGAGACCTACAGCAGAATTGGTGAGAAATAAACTTTCATGTGTTAAGCCATTAAAATTTAAGGATTTTTAAAATTCCTTTTTGGCTGTTAAATAAGTGTATGTGATAAATTGTTACTGCAACATAACCCAGCCCACCGGACTAACACAGACATAGGTATCTCGACATCAGGATATTCCTAGTGGAAGAGACCTGAGTTACCTCAAGTTACCGGCAGCGAATCCATACAAACTGCAGCAACCTCAACTCTTGCCTCCGCGGAAGGAAGACTTCAACTGAGGGGCATAAAGCAGAAAAAGAGACTGAGGCAAGTTTCAGAGCAGGAGTGAAAAAGTTTTAGAACAGTAGGGAAAGGAAGGAAAGAAAAGAAGGAAGGTATAACTTGGAAGGGGGCCAAGTGAGTGAGTGACTTGAGAAACCAAGTGTGTAGTTTGACCTCTTGACTTGGGCCCGCTTCCAGGATTTGCCTCACTTCTTCCCACTCCTGAGATCTTTTTGGGAATCTGCTGATCAGTTTCAGGTGTTTTCTGTCTATTGGGAAACGGCCTTTCTCTGGCACCAGCTGTGACCAATTATTACTTTAGAGAAACGGTTAGCAACTGCCTGACGATGGTTGCTCAATGCTCTTGGTGTGTGTGTTGTGGGGGGCAGGGGGCCTTCTCCTGCTCATCATAGCTACCTACTGTAATGAGAAAATTGACCCTAATACACAACTTTTGGGATTTATCCAAGAAAAATATAAATTAAGGAAAAGATCCATACAGTTGTACCTTGGTATTTCCAGGATCTCCCCTCAACAGATATTGATATTGAAATCCACAGACTTCAAGTCCTTGATATAAAATGGCATAGTATTTGTATATAACCAACAACCTCCTCCTGTGTATTTTAAATCATCTCTAAGCTACTTATACCACCTAATACAATGTAAATGCTATCTAAGTAGCTGTTATGTTGTATTGTTTAGGCGATCATGACAAGAAAAAAAGTCCACATATGTTCAGTACAGATGCAGACACTCATTTTTTTCCCCAAATATTTTTGATCTGCAGTTGATTGAACCCACAGATGCAAGACTTCCAGATACAAAGAGCCAACTGTGTATACAAAATATTCCTCATATTATTTATAATTTAAAAATTGAACACAGTCCAAATGTCCAGCAACTTGCATGTGTTTAAAATTTTATAATTCAGACATAGGATGGAAAGTTATGAAACCTATGAGAA